CAATGTAACGCTCAACGTCGCAGGAAACCATTCTTTGCAATCCAGTCTTAGCCAGAGCAAGCGGGCTTACAAGAGAATCATGCTCCAGGATTCGGACTCAGATTAAACTGTGTTTTGTTCAGTTAAAAGCACTTTGTTGTTTTTCTGTTGGCAGAAACGCTCTGTTGAAATGAGCTTTGTTTTCTAGACTTTTGGCAGTGTATCACGACACAGTTTTGGAGAATAAAATTTCATTGAATCGATTGGTCAGTTCAATTTGATTGATGATTTGCCGTAGCGCTAAACAGGCTTCCCAGATAAAAATAGACTGCGCGCGTGATTTTCCTTCGTATAAATTTTGCCCTTTATTGATAAACAAGTAATCCCATGAGACCTCGTACTATTAAGGATTAATTGCGCTTGAGTTTTCAAAATTTTCCAAATTGCCCTCGTCGCTTCGCGACTCGGGCAATTTTGGAAAATTTTGAAAACTCTCGTGCAATTAATCCTTAATAGTACTTGGCCTCATGTGATTACCTATACGAATCCAAACCTTAATTCAGTTCTAATTTCTCGTATTTTTTATTTATTTTTTTTTTTTTCAGCAATGCATCCTCCTCGGCCTCCAACAACGGGTAAGTAACTCTCACAAATTATTAATCAAGCGGAAAGGAAAACAATGCTGAAGCTTACGGTAGACTTAAGGTCATTTAAGGGTTGGAGCTCGCGTTAATGGCCGTTAAGTCACGCCCGAAAGCCCTGCAAATAAAATCCTGTGCTGATAACACTGACGTTCGTGTTTATTACTATAGGTTTATTTTTTTGAAACCAACTTTTAATTCAGTTTACTTTCTCGTATTTTTTCAGCAATGTATACTCCTCGGCCTTCAACAACGAGTGAGTAATTTACACAAATTATCAATCAAGCGAAAAGGACAACAATTCTCAGTGTTAAAGAGAGTACTGATGTCATGTTATCTCCCTTAGAGGTTTTTAGCCGAAAAGTGGGAGCGAAGGCAGCAACTTAATGTCGCCGATGTAAAGGACCGTCTGTTGCTTAGGCTAAGACCATACCACGCTTTTGCAGAACCCTTCCCTCCTAGGGATTGACATGGAGGCCCCTTCCCACCCCATGGCGATTTAGCTCAGGGACTGAGCTTGACTAACCAAGACCAACCAAGACTGCAAGCCCCAATGAAAATTCTCACAGCAGTCACCAGAAACCTGGCTATCGACAGGTGCCTGTGCGAATATTCTAGGCCTTTTTCAGGCACGTTTTCAAACAAAAATTCGGCTGGATATATTTTTGTGTGTGTGTACTTCTAGTTTTTCTGACCTGTAATTTTTCAGTTACACCAACATGGCCATCGACCCCTCGGCCTTTACCTTGGAGTAAGTATGCTCACAGTTTCAAATTTACCAAAGAAAGAGAAATCAGTGAGCATAGAGATTTATGCAATGAAACGTTATTATATGCAAAACAAAAAAGGAAAGAATGATAGGCTGAACTCTGCCCACAAAATAATTGCAATTTCAACGTTATATCATCTTCAGTTCATTCCTTATCTGCATTTCTTACAGTTTATTTGCTCAGGTACTTTCATTGTAGGGGAAGTTTCTATCAGCCGGATGTAAAAACCGTTAATTTCGCGCAAAATTGAATGCGTTTCTTTTTATAAAGTTGTGTTACTATCCATTATCCTTCTTTGAAAGAAAGTGTTATATTAGTAGAATAAAAACCGGCCACACCTGCCAGCGGCAAGGATAATCATTTGTTTTAGCTTGTTAATTTTGCCTCAAAAGTATAAAACTCGATCATCGAGAGAACTTTCCCTAGAAAATAAACGAAATACCGAAAAAGTTTGGTGAGAAATGGCAGCCGGA